AAGTAAAAATATATACACCCCTACCTTTATCAGAAACTTTGAATTTTGAATTACCAGATATAGACAAGAAGCACTGGAATAGCAGCTTATATATTATTTAGGATGTTGGATCATATATGAGTTTTGGAGAATATACTATCGAAATAGAAGTCTACTAATTACTAAAATTTCGGCCTCTCTTGAAAATTTTAGTGAACCAGAAAGTTGCTAATATAGATGATGCTATTCTGGGAGATTTTGAAAAATAAATAACATTGCAATATCCAAATTACCTAGACTAAACATAGATGGATTATTCTTAAAAGTTGAAAAGTCTTAATAAATATTTGATTTATAGTTTATCAGTAATGACTATTATCAGTCTTTTATTAGGAAGTGGCGATTTATTTGTAGAGGTTTTGGCAATCCTTTAATTTTAGCAATACTTAAGATATATCAATTTATAATATCCTGAAAATTTAGTTATATATTTTTCTATTAATGATCTGATAACTGTTCAACCTCTCTTGGATTTTTTGTAATTTCCGCAAATTTTACAGTTTATTGATATTAATTCAAATTAGGAATATAGTGATGGAAAATTTAACGATTACAAATAAAAATCAAGCCTGATCATCAATCTTTAGTGTCAAATATTTTAATGCTTAATACTTTTATTCCTTAATTTGTTATTTCGATGGGTTAAGCGAGTGTTTTATATATCGATATTCTGTTCTAGGAACTTTTACTATTTGTCATCGCTATCATCATATATAAATCCAAAAATTATTTTGAAAATTGTTTAATCCTTTTATAGCATTTGCCTGGATTTACTTAAATTAGAGAAATTTATGTCTTTTTCAGGATTATAAAAAGCCTTACTCCTCAATGGTTGGGATATAATATTTAAAACACTATTATATACAAGAAACATCTAAACCAAAAATTACTTAGATATTGTACAACTCGTTATCACAATTATTATACTACTTCTATTTTTTAACATATTACTAAATTGTTTCAAATGCAATCAACAATTATCAAAATTGAATAAAAATATAAGGTTCGAAATTCTAAGTTTTGGTAGGTAATTTTTCTTTTTATTATTCTTGATTTATGTTTAAAATTCACAAATACTCTAATTAGGATTGCTCCTTTTAACAAGCCTAATATAAACTCTGTTCCTTTAAAAATATCATCGTACGTTTAATTAAAAGAAATACATTGTTTAGATGGTAGTTGAGATATCAGTAATCGCTTTTATACTAAGTTCATTTTTATACATAAAGGAGTTTAATGAATAATTTAATTACGAGAACAAAATTATTTTGGGATGGGTTCAAGCGATCCTACTATCAACAGGCATAATTCTAGAATTAATTTTAACCTGTTAAGGATTATTAATAAAACTTTAACTGATATACAGAAGAAAGCAATTAATCGTTAAAAATCCATTATTTATATGAATATTATGAAATAATAAATTTTATCAAAGTTTATAAAATATAAAAAGTATTAAATTTCATCATAAACTAACTAAGAATAGGAATAATTGAAATTAAATTAATCAATAATCATTATTCTAATTTTCTGCAAAATGCATATCATTATATCCTATGTTTTTCATTCATAATACAATAAGTACAAAATTTTTATGCAAAACCAATATTAATCAATATAATGTGAAATATCTAAAACGATTAATCAGGCGAACATTCGTGTTATTTGAATCTGGAGTTTGAGATGGTAAAGTTAAGTTGATTTAATTAATTCGTTATAAATAGCTTTTAGATCAAAATTTACTACTATAGCAACTATTAAATAGTCTGTGAGGCAACGTTAATATAAATATTGACTGATATTATAGTAACTAATTTATTGTTGAAAATAGGTTAATAAAAAAAATTAATTTTGGATTGAAATCAATTCACAAGGAGGACACTTCAATTAGTTCAATTAAAGAAAGACAATTGAAAAATCTGTTATGCAAATTCCCCAAGAGAACCATTTATTGGATAGCTTTTACCTATTTTCATCACATAGCTAATATGTATCGAATTTAAATATCTACTAGAAAAAACAATTTTATATTAAAGCTTATTACTTTAATTTTTTTAAAGTAAATTAACTTACTATCCTTCCTTAAATAAAAGTTGTTAAATAGAATTTACATTTATATTATAGAGCATTTGACAAAAATCTATAAATTATTTGTTTTAATATAAACTCAAAAATAATGTATATTACGAGAGCCTTAGGATTGAGCAACCCTATAGAACAAACTCAGCTCAATGCAGGTAGTCGCTTAAGCTATTTATTTCGGATTAATGAAATAGCAGAGAGTAGAGGAAAAAGGAAAGAAATAGGACCCTTTGTGTTATTCGAGAGCAAACAAAAAAAAGTCCAATAAATTGTACTTCTTAGTGATCGAATGATTTATTTCATGATTAGTAAGCGGAAATGCCATAATTTTTTCAATTTATTAGATCTATTCTAGCCTTTGCCTATATGTAATATTCATTTCCACCTAATTTAATATACTTTCTGAACACTTTTACTAAGCGTCTCTAAACAATATTGGATTATTTTAGAATAGATGAAATATTGGGTTATTTAGATGGGGGAAGCTTACCATTTCAAAGGAAAAAACAAATTAGAATTATTCTATCCACTAAACAAGTTTTAATTGCTGAATGCTAAGTGTTATTACTTCTTTATCATTGCTTCATTAAACACATATTTAATAAGTAGGATACTCACATCTTTGATAATTGAAAAGCTACATAATATTTATTCGAAAAATTCTAAAAACATCCTAGTTACCTACTTATTGGTCAACTGTTTTCATAAGAGCTCTAGAAATTTGTACTAAATTCAAAAATGAATAATAATTGAATTAAATATCATTTCCTTAGCAATAAGTAACTAATAATTAAAAAAAATTACTCCAGGATATTTGGTATATTATGATATAATATAAAACGAATCTTCATTTTTAAATTAACACTCAGATTTTCTAATGAGTTTAAATGCTTCAAAAAATTGATTGGTATACAGCAGAAAACAAAGTTATGGAGCACGTATTAATATTAATTCATATTCTGCCATTTGTATATTCATAATTTCTTAAATTTATAAAATTCTTCATAAATTTGAATTTTCATAAAGTAAATGAATAATATTTATATATAAAAATTAATTTTTAAATTCTCTAGGATTATCATGTAGTTTCAATTCAGTTATCTTTTTTGGAAGAACTGTTTTAAAGACCTGAAATAATAATGCTCCATTGCTTGAAAGAGACATTATTTTCAAACAAAATCAATAACTTTATAAGATAATAGAAAAATTTAATTTTAGTCCTAAAATGCAAAAGGCTGGTAGAATGGCTTAAATTCATTGTTATNAATATCATCATACGTTTAATTAAAAGAAATACATTGTTTAGATGGTAGTTGAGATATCAGTAATCGCTTTTATAGTGTTTAATTAAAGAAAGACAATTGAAAAATCTGTTATGCAAATTCCCCAAGAGAACCATTTATTGGATAGCTTTTACCTATTTTCATCACATAGCTAATATGTATCGAATTTAAATATCTACTAGGATCAAAACAATTTTATATTAAAGCTTATTACTTTAATTTTTTTAAAGTAAATTAACTTACTATCCTTCCTTAAATAAAAGTTGTTAAATAGAATTTACATTTATATTATAGAGCATTTGACAAAAATCTATAAATTATTTATTTTAATATAAACTCAAAAATAATGTATATTACGAGAGCCTTAGGATTGAGCAACCCTATAGAACAAACTCAGCTCAATGCAAGTAGTCGCTTAAGCTATTTATTTCGGATTAGTGAAATAGCAGAGAGTAGAGGAAAAAGGAAAGAAATAGGACCCTTTGTGTTATTCGAGAGCAAACAAAAAAAAGTCCAATAAATTGTACTTCTTAGTGATCGAATGATTTATTTCATGATTAGTAAGCGGAAATGCCATAATTTTTTCAATTTATTAGATCTATTCTAGCCTTTGCCTATATGTAATATTCATTTCCACCTAATTTAATATACTTTCTGAACACTTTTACTAAGCGTCTCTAAACAATATTGGATTATTTTAGAATAGATGAAATATTGGGTTATTTAGATGGGGGAAGCTTACCATATCAAAGTAAAAAACAAATTAGAATTATTCTATCCACTAAACAAGTTTTATTTGCTGAATGCTAAGAGTTATTACTTCTTTATCATTGCTTCATTAAACACATATTTAATAAGTAGGATACTCACATCTTTTAAAATTGAAAAGCTACATAATATTTATTCGAAAAATTCTAAAAACATCCTAGTTACCTACTTATTGGTCAACTGTTTTCATAAGAGCTCTAGAAATTTGTACTAAATTCAAAAATGAATAATAATTGAATTAAATATCATTTCCTTAGCAATAAGTAACTAATAATTAAAAAAAATTACTCCAGGATATTTGGTATATTATGATATAATATAAAACGAATCTTCATTTTTAAATTAACACTCAGATTTTCTAATGAGTTTAAATGCTTCAAAAAATTGATTGGTATACAGCAGAAACAAAGTTATGGAGCACGTATTAATATTAATTCATATTCTGCCATTTGTATATTCATAATTTCTTAAATTTATAAAATTCTTCATAAATTTGAATTTTCATAAAGTAAATGAATAATATTTATATATAAAAATTAATTTTTGAATTCTCTAGGATTATCATGTAGTTTCAATTCAGTTATCTTTTTTGGAAGAACTGTTTTAAAGACCTGAAATAATAATGCTCCATTGCTTGAAAGAGACATTATTTTCAAACAAAATCAATAACTTTATAAGATAATAGAAAAATTTAATTTTAGTCCTAAAATGCAAAAGGCTGGTAGAATGGCTTAAATTCATTGTTATAGGGTTCCCAGACTAAACCCTAGGGTTATTTTCTCCTTAAAATTTCAATAAAAGATGCATGCACCTGTTGAAATGGAATGACACTCTAAATCCTAGTTCAAAGAGAATTAAAGTCAACTTAACCTAAATTTATGGCAAAACCTGTAGTTATAATCCAAAAAGTAAATGGCAGCCGTAAATATTTTGATTGTTAATATTAAACCTAATCTTTCCTTTAAAGTGTTAAAGTAAAAGAATGGAGAGAGGAAATAAATTCCTTCTAAAGAGGCTCTCTTCTGTTATGGAGAAATTTAAAGTGAAAATAATCCCTTTAAGTCTTTGAAAAATCCACCCTATAACATATTCTTTCCCACTATTATGTAGCATAAGCCTAGAAATAGAGGATATGAATTCAAAAATATATGACAATTAGTAGCTCATTAAAATTATGGAATTAGAAATTTTACCTCAATCGAAATAAAAACATAGCTGAATTGAGAAATCTTAAATTGCACAATCAACCGAAAGCTAGAAATTTGTTCAAATATTATTATTAAAAGGGAATTTCCTATCATAAAGATTTGATTAAGCATTCTGATAATTAAAATAGTCAAATGCAGGAAATAAATATTTAAATAACAAATTCAAATTAATTTTGATTTTAAGAACGGCCTTTACTCTAATTTTATGTAAAGAGTTAAGATAATTTATAGCTCTTAATTATTAATTAGAGTTTAATCATTGGATATTTTGGTGAATCAGCTAACTTAAGAGTAAGTTATATGGGCCTTTTAGAATAAAACCTAAACAACCTCTAATAAATAAGTGATCATTCCTTTGATGTCAAACCTTGATAATGGTTTAAGATGAACTTTAGGGAGCTGTAAAATAATTAGAAGAGAAATGAGATTTTTTAATTCACATAAAAATTGACGAAATAATGTAAGCTGTGAAATTACCCACACTTTCTAGGATGACTGAATACTATCTCTAAGAAATTAGTTTTGTCCACATCTTATAAATCTATATAAAACTTTCTTATGGGAAGTAGTTTACATTTTTGTTTGAGCATTTCATTCATGCTATATCCAAATTAAGGCTGAGCTATATGAAATGGGTTGCTGTGTGAGGATTTCCCTTTTTATCGATTTTTTCTATTTAAGATTTTGTTTGCCTAAAAGATTATGATGCTTTACATCAATAGAGAGGTAAAATGATTGGTACTTTAATCACAATAGAAATTAGAATGAATCAGACCAGATGTGTTTTAATTATGAAATTGAATAATCATCATCCATATATATAGATAAAGTTCCACATATATTTGATTTTTTTTAAATTGGAATAATTATGAGAATTACCAAATAAATTGTATCACATAAAGATTATATCTTAATAGGATAGGGTTATCTAGATGATCAATCATCAATTATCTTTTCCTTTCCTCGTTTAAATACTATTTTTATTTTTCTTTTTTATACATTTTTAATTGTAATTTCAATATTGATATAAAGTATTGACTCAATTAACTCTATAATGGCTCCTCAGAATTAACATAAACACTATTTCAAAGACTTAAATCTATCATTTGTGATTTATGCTAATGGCTTGATCAACTTGCCATCTGTCTTTTTAATTATCAAATGGACAAGGTATATTTAAATCAAATTGATGAACCTTGATTAATTTTGCATTCTAATTACTAGTTATTTCTCTCCTCACGCATAAAATGTTCATAAGCTTACTTGACAGGATACTTGAAAACGTGCACTTGATTATTGAATTTAGGAGATTCTTTGTTTTAATAATTTCTGAATATTTTATGTTACCTACCTAACTTACATCTGATTTCTACAAATCAGTCAGCCCATCTCAGATTTGTAAGCTAACTATTTTGAGACATACACTGATCAACATCAATGTATTATTCATTCAAAATGGGGGACATTATGATATTGACAATTTTTTCGTTAATTCTGTATCTAGTACAAGAACTCGAACTTGCAAATTTATTCTACATTATCATTCTAAAATTGCTGATCTAAGAGTATTTGATATCAGCATTTATGTATTCTCTAACAAAGCGGATCACAAATTTTCTTACAATACATGTGTGCTGTTAACTATGGTCTAGCTTTCTCGATCTAAACTAAGCAGAATAAAGTCATAGATTGAGTAGTATTTTACTTTTTTATTTTTTTATCCTTATTAATTATATGGAAATTGAGGAGACGACTCTATTTAGATCTTATCATTATTGGCTCCTTCTAAATGTTTGAAAAAGCTAAAATTATTCTTATCTGCTTGATAGAAGGAGCCATGTGTTAAATTTATTGATATTCTGTCTGCAAGAGTTAGTAAAAAATAAATTGAAGGCCTGTGAATTCAAATATCTGTACCTCACGTATCACAAGACTCTTCCTATTCAAGTATTCTATATTTATCCTGCCATAATGCATGGAGTAAGTTATATTTTTATTTATAACTGTTTATTATAGATATTCAGATTTAAACCAAACGGCATAATATAATGTCTTCTTAATTTGGACATTATTGAACCAATTATAGAGATGCTGGCCAAAAGCTTTCTTCACTAAAACTAATGCAATAATAAAATACAAATTACAATTTAAAAAATTTTCATGACTAGGGATATTCATGAAATAGCCTCAAATTGATATATTTGATAGTTACCGATTGGACCTACTATCAAATGTGATGGCTAATTATTCTGGAGGTGCTTTTAGATATTTTGTTAAATAGTTCATGCAATAATCTCTGAAACATGTTGTAAGTATCCTTGCCTCCATAGTATGCAGCTTTTGTTTGAGGACATTCCTCTTTCCTTATTTATTTGTACTGAATATTAATTTTGTCTTTTTAGTGATAGGCCTGCTCTATAAAATTAATGAAATTCATCCATAACCGAAGTAGGTCTTATCTCATATAGTCAGGTAGTGCAGAATGCAATCCTTGCTTCCTAAGTTAAATATTTTTGCAATCTTCATTCTACTTTATTGAAGAATATTAACCACAAGCATGGTTGTGTTTAACTCACATACAATGTACTAAGTGTTTTACACTTTAAT